GGCCGGGCCGGGCCTATAACCGGTTACATAACCGGTCCCGGTCCCAAAAAACGTCAAAAACCCTAACCGGATCATAACCGGCGGTCCCTCAACCGGTCCCTACCGGTCCCGGTCGGTCCCGGTCCCTCTCCGGTCCCGGTCCTCCGTCGGTTACGGGCCGGGCTGGGCCCATTTGGCCATCTCTAATCGGGAGGGCTAGACGGTCTCTAATTTAACCGAACCCTTTGAAATTTAAAAATAAATAACAAATACGTATATAAAATAATGAAATGGATAATTTATTTAAAAAATACCTTGTATTTTCATTTAATTGTAAACAAATTAATTGTGAGAAATAACAATTAGTTAATGTGACGATATAAACTAATTAATTTCTATGATATCTTCCATTTTTAAATTTTCGACTTAAATCTTTTTCATACTTTTTTCATTTTTAACCTTTTTTAAATGATCAAATTGAATGGTTTTTAAATATAAAGCATCGAGTATTTTCCTAATAAACTCTAGACTTCATTTATGTTGCATGTTAGGTTTAAAGTTGAGTGACACGAAAACGAGGTCATCTTTTTAAAATATTTTATAAATTTTTAATTTAATAGATTTATTTTACTATTAATAACCACATATTATTGTTTGATATTGTTTTAATTTTTTTTTAGTAATAAAAATAGTTGAGGTTAAAAAGAACGACTATTGACCCATTTTTTCAAACTTTGACTGGCCTTTTCTGAGCTTTGACCATATCTGTTTTTCGTTAAACATTAACTGGTTTTCAGGCTCTATCCAGACTTTTTTAGCCGTTTAAGGACCGATCCTAAGTTCAAAATGGACCAAAACGAGCTTTCGCCTATAATCGGTCTTTAGTCGGGCTTTTTCTAAATTGTCATATTCAAGATTGTTTGTATATGCTTACTGGTACAAAATCAGTTAATCGGTCTTTTGTGTATCTCTAGTAAATTATTCTGAGATTTTACCCAAGAATTACTATTAACTAGTAAAAAAAAATCCCTTAGTAATATATCATTAAAGTCACACCATATGTTTGAAAATAAATAAAAATAAATATTGATTCACATTTTATTGGCACGTCACCAACGGGATATTGTTTATGTCAAAATTACATGAGATAAATTAAGGTTGAATTATGGAGCATGTTTATGTCAAAAATTACACTAAATGTAATTCAAGGTTTTGTTTGTGGAGTTTTAACAATTAAGGATCAATCACCTTGAAATAAACATAGGAAAATAAGGAAAAAAAACAATAAAAAACAACAGAGCAATTGATGACACGGAAAAACCTTTAAATGAGGGAAAAAAATTGCGGACGATACTAGAGATCGTTGATGCACTATGGACGTCAATCAAGGACGTTGTCCTTTGTAACAACAATTACAAGAAAGTACATGCGTCGATCTTGAAAAATAATAAGAAAGCAAGAGTTGTTTCTGCTAGTAACTTTCATATGCGCATAGCTTCTGATTGTCCAAGGTTGTTTTTGAGTTCTTCGAGGATTTTGTAGGTGACTTGTAGGAGTGTTCCAACGGTCGATCCTTAATGACCTTTAATGGAGAAAATGGTTAGACTTGATTCTCTTGGATCTTTGCCTTCCATTATGATCCTAATGGTTAACGGTCGAATTTATCTTTATTCCTGCAGTAAAGACCACATATAACAGTTGTCGTAATTAAAATGCAGTTACTTGCGTCGTTAGTATGATATGTCGGAGGAAATATCGATTGTGGATTGGTAATCCTCGACCAAGGCTCGTAGGTCTTACGGTCGTAGATAACCACGATCATAGATAGCAGATCATTGGTCATATGAATCTTGGATACAGACTTCATGGTCACAGAAAAAAATATATTCGTCGGTCGAGGGTCTGAATATTTATCAAAATAAACCGAGATTTAAATTAAAAAAAATATTTGAATTTCGAATCTCGAGAAAAAAAAATGATTTTATTGAGAGTTTTTGACACGTGTCAATCGGGGGTTGATTTTGTTACTTGGTAACCAAATCAATTTTCATGGGAAACTGGATAGGTGTACATGGAAAACTAAATCTTCAAAGATTCGATGATATCATGGTATATCATACACGTGATAACAGCTATAGTGGGACATGTGTTTTGCTACTGCCTTACATTTATCGAATGAATTCTTATTCATGATTTTGATGTTTTTAGTTCTTGGTTGCCATCGATTTTTCTATCGTATCTGCTCTATATGATACTCAGAAAAAGATCGAACGTTTCCTCGAGATTTATGATCGGGGTTTTACCCAAGTGGTCAGAGGACAAATTGTCGAGGAGCACGAGGCTGCTCTTCCTTCTGAGGAAGGCACAGAGG